CCCAGACCCTGTGAGGCCTAGCAGAATGCAGAGCCACAGCCCAAACAGTCCCCTGAATCACCCTGCCCCAGAGGCCTCGGGGAGAAATAATCCCCCGAGCTCATGGAAGGCCAGTATCCAGAATAGCTTGTCCCCTATGCACTGGGATCGGCAGGGCTCTGCAAGCCCCCTGGAGGCCTCACAGGGTCTGACCACTCCTAGGGGGGCCATTCAAGCCCATTTCTCTCTCACCCTACATGCTCTCCTTTCTGACGTCCTGTCACACCTACTGTTTCACCACAGTTAGGGGGCATTTGGTTATACTCTTCTCCTTTATGTTTGTCTTCCCAGTAAGACTATAAACTCCCTAACGACTGGGGCAAATCTTTCTTATTTCTCACAGTCCCTAACTAAATGCTCATCAAAATAAAGTGCGCTTTCCTCGACCCTACCCATTCTGCCTCTTTGTCAACTTTGGTGTCCATCCATTTCCGCTAGCTTTCTGATGTCACTTTAGGTGAGTTTCCTAGAAACTCAGAAGCACTCTCCTAAATCCAGTCTCTGCAGTTATTGTTCATGAAAAATCGATCTGGAACCCACAAGTGAATGGAACATAGCCTGGCCATTGAGGAGCTTACATTTCAGTGAAGGGGACAGACATACAAGTAATTTCAAGAGAGCTGACCTGCTGTGACTGAGCATGCTCATGGTACTATAGGAACAGAAAGGGGCAGGGCAGGTCTCCATGCACAGGGGTCAGAGACCTGGAGGTCAGTGTCCTGGAGGACATGATGCCAACATCCCAGGCTAAGGTTGAGTGGGGGGAGGGGGCCAGGCCAGAAGGTGATGAAAGATGATCAGAAAGAGGAGAAGCCGTGAGGAGGCATCACTCAATCATCCAAGAATTTGCTGAATACCTTGCCTGTGACAGGCCTGGAAACCCCACTCCTGGCTTCAAGGCTCTTACAGACAAGGGGGCAGGCATTTAAACAAGCCCTGTGGTTAGAACAAGGGTCAGAATACAGGGCACTGAGCTCAAAACCATCATGTAAGGGGCGCCTGGGTGGCTCAGTCGTTAAGTGTCTGCCTTCGGCTTGGGACATGATCCCAGGGTCCTGGGACCAAGCCCCGCATCGGGCTCCCTGCTCTGCAGGAAGCCTGCTTCTCCCTCTCCCACTCCTCCTGCTTGTGTTCCCTCTCTTGCTGTCTCTCCTTCTGTCAAATAAATAAATAAAATCTTTTAAAAAAACCCATCGTGTAAGAGGAGACGCAAGTGCAGTCAAAATTACCCTCGGAAATCTCTGGAATTCCTAGCTTCCGAGTTCTTAGAAGCTCCCAAGACATTAATTTTTGTTTCTGTTGGCTTTTTTGGCCTGCCTGGCCTCCCTTCCCCTGGGCCATGAAGGACAAAACAAGAGGGTTTCTCTCTCGATTTTTCTCAAAAATGTCACTGAATTTAAGTGTGCATCTAATGAGGTTCCATTATGTATATATGGGGTGGGGGGCGCAAGGGAGCACAGCCTAGTGGATGCCAACTGAGCCTCCTCTCTAAAGCGGCTTCTCCAATTTGCATCCACAGACTCTCTGGGCATCTTGGTCAGGTGCAGATTCTGACTCAGTAGGTCTGGGGTGGGACTCAAGAAGAGGAATTTCTAGCAAGCTGAAGCCCATCCAGCACTCCTGCTGCTCCAGGGACCACAGTTTGAGAACCATGGGAGCAGAGAATGAGTGGACTTTGGGGTGGGGGGCAGCATTCCAGACAGGGTAAGTAGGCAGCTGCTGGTGGCTCCCAGCTCAGGGAGCAAAGGGAGAGATAGGGCTGGAGAGGTGGGGCCCATTTAGGAGTGTGATACGTGGTGGGGAGGGTCCCATGATAATAAGGGCAGGTGCCTACAGGGGGCAGGGGCGTGGTCTGGGCATAGTTTTCCTTCACAGAGACACTTTGTGTATTAAACCTAGAGAAATATTCTTCACTCCGGAAATAAGGACTCTCACAATTCTCAAAATATGCTGTGCTTTTGTCTATTTTCTGTTTCTCCACTTCTGATAAAGACCTAGTTACAAGATATATTTCCCTCTTAACCGCGCAAGTCAGTAATAAACAGCAGCTGACACTGGCCTCCCTGTGCGGGTGGGGGAGGGGGGTGGGGGGTTAAGAAGGGGCTCACGCCCGCTGGCCAGAAGGGGGCGCCTCTGCCCAGCTCCCACCATTGGTGGCTGTGCAGGAACAAAGGCCCAGGGTTGCCAAAGCAGCCAGAAACCTCAAGTCGTTTGTGTGAAATGTCCCAACATTAAAATACTGGGCACTAATTCAAAAATGTTTCCAACACTGCGAGGGCTGAACAGTTCGAGTCTGCAAGGCAAACTCAGCCAATGGGTGTCTCGTTCAGGACTGCTGCGGATCGCGCTGTGGTTCAGGCTGCTTTTACATAGATTCTGATTGCAACAGCGTCGGGGACTGCTAGGGGAGAGACTGGAGGCTGGGTGGCCTTTTGGAGGCGACTGCTGGCCTTGGCCAGAGAGCGCACATGCATAACCCCCAAGGCAGCAGGAGAGCCGGGAAGACCGCAGAGCTGCAGGACTTGATGACTGACTGGCTATGAGGATGAGGGGGAGTAGGGCTATGGAGGATAACCCCCAGGTTTCTAACATGCGTGACTGAGTGACTGGTGGTGACGTTCACTGGAATAATGAATACAAGAGCAGAAGCCTGTATGGAGGGGAGGTTCTAGATAAGCAGAATGTAGGTGCCTGTGGGTCAGCCAGCAGGCCACATGCCACAGAAATCTGGGGTTTGAAGTCAAAGGAGAGGCAAAGGTTAGTCAGCTTTCTCAAACACAAATCTGGTCAGGTTACTGCCTGCGTAAAATCCTCGAATGGCTTCCTGTTGTCTGAACAGAAAGTTCAGACTCCCCGTGTTAAACAAAGCCCTTTGCAGTCTGTCCCTGCCAACCTCACTGTACCACACCCCAACACAAAGACCTGCTCCCCAGGCCTGCTGAACAACTCAGAGTCCCAGAATAGGCCGCGCCTTTGTTCTTGCTAGTCCTTGGGCCTGCAGTACCCTTCTACCCCATGCCTGGTATGTTTGGAAAATTCCTAGCTCTCTCAGACTCCAGCATCTCTGCTCTGAAGCCTTCGCTGACCTTGTCAAGCAGAAGAGATCACTCCCACCTTTGTGCCGCCTCTAAACTTTGTGCTTGCTGCTTTTTCTGCCCTGTCACTCCCTTCTGGAAAGATGTGCCCGTCTATAAACTCCTTGAAGGCAGAGAGCACATCTTACTGTGTCACCACTTCCTGAGCACATGTCTGGCATGTAGTAGACATGCGGGAAATGACTGAAGGGTTTTCCAGGAGGGACAACTGCAAGGCTGGTCTAGAGGAAGATGCTTTCTACTTCCCCAGGGATTATCTGGCTCTTTCTCTCCTTACAGTTAAAGAACCGCACGAGGACCCTGGGTGCTGACCTTGCCTGTCTTCTTTCTTTGCAGCTGGGGTATGGCCGTCAATGTGTACTCCACATCCGTGACCAGTGAAAATCTGAGTCGCCATGATATGCTTGCATGGGTCAATGACTCCCTGCACCTCAATTATACCAAGATAGAACAGCTCTGTTCAGGTAGGAACCTGGGAGTGGGGAGAGTGGGCCCTGCTGGAGGGAAGGGGCCAGCAGGTGGGAGGCAGGACGGACACAGGAGACAATGCAGTGTGTAATCAGGAGTAAGGAGGAGAGCTGCAGAGCCCTAAACTAGTCAGAGTGTGTGGAGGTGACGGAAGTAAGGGTCTCATGGAATGGCAAGAGTCAAAAGTGAAGAGCAGGAGAGGCTCAGGGAAGGGCTGCAGGGCAGGCGGGGCAGTGGAGTATCAAGAGCTAGGACAGGCAGTGAAGCCGGAGGGTAATAGCCCGAGGTCAGGTCTAGCCACTCGGGGCCCAAATCTCAGCTCTTCTTGCAGTACAACCCTGGGCAAATCACTAGGTCTGTTTTCCCGTCCATAAGACAGCGATCCCATGCCCAGTCACACAGGGCTGCTGGTAGGATGGAGTGCTGTATACGCAGTGTTTGGTGCGGTGCTGGTACGTGACTGCATCGGTCCGGAATAACTGCTGTCATTCCTGGAAAGCCGGGACAAGGAGAAGAGGCTGGGTAGTTGGGGGCAGTGGCCAGCAGAGGGCCTGGGGAAGGGGAAGCGAGGAGCCCAGGCAGGGGAGCGGCCCGCGCCCCTCAAGCAACTTCACTTCTCCACAGGGGCAGCCTACTGCCAGTTCATGGACATGCTCTTCCCCGGCTGTGTGCACTTGAGGAAGGTGAAGTTCCAGGCCAAACTAGAGCATGAATACATCCACAACTTCAAGGTGCTGCAAGCAGCTTTCAAGAAGATGGGTGTTGACAAAGTAGGTGCCTGTGCCCCGGGGGGCCCTGAGGAGCTGTGTGACCCTGGGGAAGAAGATGGCCCGCCAGCCAGGGCAGCAGGGGCTGCTGGGGTCATTCCAGCCCTGGCGCCTCTCTCCACCCCCCTACTTGCCAGAGGGAATGTTCCCCCAGCTCAAGGCATGGTGGAAAACCCCACACTTGACATCCCATCCTGACGACATTCCTGCCCCTTCCTTCTCTCTGGACCCGATCCATCTCAGCAACTAGGCTCAGTCTTCCACTCCTTTTAAGTTCCTTCTCTGTAGGGCCTAAGAAAAGTCTCTGGGCTCACTCTCCTGCCTCAGTGGCCCGCAGCCCCTGGTTCCAGCAGCCCCCACCCCACATGCACATGGCAGGCCGCACCAAGGGTGCCCCCTGTGCCTGGAGGAGGGGCTGCGTCCAGATCCGGGGCCGGGCCCCAGCCTGCCTGCGTGCTCCGGGGCCACGGCTGTGGAGAAGGTGGAGGATGCTGCAGCCCAGGGGCTGGCTTTCCTGAGAGCAGTGGGCCACTCACAGAGGAAGGCAGCCCTGCAGCAGCAGGTGGCTAAAGTTCTCTGCTTGTGTGGTCTATTTCAGATAATTCCCGTAGAGAAATTAGTGAAAGGAAAATTCCAAGATAATTTTGAGTTTATTCAGTGGTTTAAGAAATTCTTTGACGCAAACTATGACGGAAAGGATTACAACCCTCTGCTGGCGCGGCAGGGCCAGGACGTAGCGCCACCTCCTAACCCAGGTGATCAGATCTTCAACAAATCCAAGAAACTCATTGGCACAGCAGGTAACGTGCCCGAGCTGGGGGAGGGGGTGTGGGGGGCCGGGCCGGCAGGGCTCCAGAGCCACGAGCGCCCCCTGGGCCACCGGCCCGGCCCTGCCAGCCTAGAGGAGACTGTTATCACGGAGTTCAGATGACGCCGCCTGCTGCCCGCCTAGACCAGGGGGAGTCACAGGAGGGAGGACGGGGCCCGCAAAGATTGCCACAGACGGGGAGCCACCGGCACCAGCCGTGGGGGCAGTGGCGGTGGGAGGCCCAGGGCACTTGCTTCGGTAGCGTGAGCTAACTCGTTGGCCTCGAGAGACGGGCCAGCATGTGGCATGGTTCGTCTGTCCAGGTCCATCCAGGCCAGGGGCCTGGTGCCAGCAGCACGCTCCCTTCTTGCCCCCTGCCCACTGGATGCCCAGGGACAGGAGTTTGCCAAGCTTCCCCCGTGGGGACCACGTCTTCCCCGACTCCAAGGGCCCATAGCCCGAAGTCCTCAAGAGAGGAGTCTTTTGAAAGGAGGCTTTGTCTGGGTTCTAGAGGAGAAGGGAGAGGAGCAGTAGGGCCTTTGGGGGGATGACAGGGTTGGGGAGAGGAAGAGGAGCAGCCCCAGCATCTGAACCCGTCATAGCAGAGCCGCTCCTCGTTCGCGCTGCTGCCCCGCCTGGGCCTGCCCCCATTCACCCGCTTGCTTTGCGTTAGAAGCAGCCAGCTGTGACCAGGGAGCAGCCATAGCTAGAAGACAAGTGGCCACAGCATGCCCGGCCTGCGGGGGGAGGAGCCGGGAGCCCTGCGGCCGGCCCGGCAGAGAGCACAGAGCCCATCCCGAGGCAGGGAGCCTGGGAGGGGCAGGGGCCCTGAGACTCTGAGGTCACCCACAGGGAGGGTGGGGCTTCTGCAAGGATGCAAGTGCCAGATTCGAGACCCTGCACCAGCCGCTCTTCCTCAGACTCTGGCTGCCAGGACAAGAGGCCCAACCCTCCCAGCCCCACTTCCCAAATTTCCCAGTTCCCCTCACCTTTCCCTCAGGCCGGCTCTCCTCCCTCCCGACACCTCATACCTCCTTTACTTCCCTGAAGTCCCTGCTCTCCCAGGCTTGCCAAAGAGCTGCCCAGCTGCTGTGGTGTCCGTGTGGCCATGGCTTGAGGCCTAGATGTAGATGGCCCTCCTGAGTGGGAGAAGAGGGGAGGGCGAGAGTGCCTGCCTTTCGCATGGGCCTGCCCCCGCAGCCGTTCACACCAGGCCGTCTCATGCCACGTGAGCTGTGGGCTCACGTGGTCCCATCCGACTTTTCTCCCCTGGGCAGTTCCACAGAGGACGTCCCCCACAGGCCCCAAAAATATGCAGACCTCTGGTCGGCTGAGCAATGTGGCCCCACCCTGCATCCTCCGGAAGAATCCCCCATCAGCCCGGAATGGCGGCCATGAGACTGATGCCCAGATTCTTGAACTCAACCAGCAGGTGAGTAGGGTGGGCGAGGGTCGCTGAGAGAGCCCTCAACAAAAGCCAGGCCCTTGGGGTGTCAGGACGGGAAGGGGAGTCTGAGGCAGGGATCTCTGGCCTGAACACCACCTTGTCCCGGAGCAGCTATTGGATTTGAAGCTGACCGTGGATGGGCTGGAGAAGGAGCGTGACTTCTACTTCAGCAAACTTCGAGACATCGAGCTCATCTGCCAGGAACACGAAAGTGAGAACAGCCCTGTCATCTCGGGCATCATTGGCATTCTCTACGCCACTGAGGTGAGCTCTGCCGGCGCCCGCTCCCGTCCCAGGCCCACTCACAGATCGCCCCGTGGAGACCACAAGGGGTGGCACCCGAGGGCTGAGGAGAGCCCGCTGAAGTCAGAGCCCAAGGCCACATAGAGATTAGCAGGGGAAGTGGAACTAGAACTCAGCCCTTTCTCTGGAGCCCTGGGGCAGCCGTCTCCCCCTCGGCCTGGCCTGCCTGGCTCACCACTTCCCTCTCCTTTCCCACCCTCCAGGAAGGATTTGCACCCCCTGAGGATGATGAGATTGAGGAACACCAACAGGAAGACCAGGACGAGTACTGAGGGCGGCTCGAGCCCTGGCTGACTGCTCGGCTTCCCGTGCCTCCCCACCCTGCTCCCACCCCACATTATAATCCTTTCCTTACAGCCTGCCGGCCGGCCGGGTGCTTCATGTCAGTAGCCCAGCACTGGGGAGTCCGGCGAGGAGCGGGGCTCGCGGGGATGGGGCAGGGGGGCAGGCGGAGGCCCCTTCCTGCCGCCACCGGCCCAGCGGGCGAGGCCTCTGTCCACTCCTCCGTATCCCTATTTATTTCCGTTGTCTCTGCGCTGTGTCGGCCAACACCTCCCCAGGGAGGGGGGGGATGCCGCTGCCCCCCCTGCCCCAGCCAGCTGCCTGCTCCCCTGACAGCCAGCAGCTGTATATTTGACAAAGTCATTGGTATATTTTTACTTACTGGATTTTCCTTGCACTTTACCTGTTCTTTTCCCAGGGCTGACAGCACGGGGCTCCGGGGCAGTGTGCCTGGCTTGACTTCCCTTCCCTGTTGCTGGGAACCGTGGCAGGACTCACCCGTTCTTATTTATTTTGTCTTTTGGCATCCCAGTAGTTGAGGGGAAGGCTGATGTCAGGAGAGGGATAAGGGGACTGAGGGGGGATGCCTTAAGCCCCGGTGGTCAGGGAGAGGGAAGGGAGCATGTGAGGGATGAAAATGACCTCCTGGCACCAGGCTCCCCCACCCTCAGCCCCCAGCCCCTAGCACTGAAGCCCAGCACTGCCCCGAGGCCCCCAGCCACTCCTCCCGCAGCTTGGTTCATACCACACAGACTCTGCTTGGACCCTCCCGTTCGTCTGCCTCCCGTGTGCCCTCCTCCCCAACCTCCACCTCCTCAGGCCACCCAGCCTGCATATGTGTTCACTTTTATTTAAATAAACTTGTGTGGTAAAAGTCCATGCCCTGTCTCCCTCACCGGGGCCACAGCCTGGGTCTCAGTGCTTCGCTCTTCCTGAGCACTCCCCTCTTCCAGAGGTGGTTGGCGCCCAGCCCCACTGCCACCCTCTGTCAGGCCTAGAAACTGCCATGGGCGCTTGGCCTCAGAGCCCAGCTCTGACCTCGTCCCCATCTCTCAACTCTGGTCCCGAGGCTCTAAGGGAAGGAAGACGTGGAGGCCGCGACCCCCAATCCCTGTGGAGGAACAAAGTGTGGGGCCGTGGCCGTGACAATGGGCAGCCCAATCAGGTGGCTGGGGGCGGGGTGCGTAACAGGGTGGCCTAGCCAAGAGGTGCTTTGTTTCAGTCTCCTTCCGGCCAGTGAGGCCACATGATGTCCCCCACCCGCTGTCAAAGCTCACAGCCCTCCCAACAGTGATCCAGCTGGGGACAAGGAGAGAGTGGAGTGGGTTACAAAGAGCAAGCAGCTCTGAATGCTGAGGCCCAGAAGGACAGCAAGGCCTGAGCGGTTCCTTCTGTGGAACAAGCTCTAATGAGAACCAGGAGTCAGCAAGCCTTTCACATCATCCACATAGCTCTACCTTCGTGGGACGTGCCCCAGCATAGGGCCATAGTAAGAATATCCTGGAAGCCCAACGGGACCGAGGGCACTGAAATGAATGTGTGAACCAGGCCCGCTCAAACAAAGCCATCATCTTGATCAGCCCCCTCACTTACGGATGGAGGGACCAAGGCCTGCATGTGACACAACTTTCTCAAGGTGGTAAAAATCTGGATTAGAATTCAGACCTCCTGACTCATGATTCAGCGCTCATCCCCGAAGACCGGACGTGGGACCTCAGGAACATTCTCTAGGTGAGGGCTGGGAGTCCTGGTAGGTGTTTCCTCACCATCCTGAATATGTTCAAATTAGGGCCTTGTTTCTTCCATGACCCTGCTCCATGCACCTCTTCCAGACCACCACTATTTCTCTGATGACTCCAGATAGAAGCCTTAAAGAAGCAGTTCATGTCTGTTCATCCCTCATTCACTTCACCTCCTCCTTTTGACTCCCACTCCAACATAGATACTTCTGACCCTATTCTGTTTTTCTCCCCCAACAATTCCTTGCCTGCTTTTATTGATTTTTATGATTTTTAATTCCCTTGCCTAATTTTTAAGATTTATCCATTTATTTAAGAGAGGAGGGACAGAGAATCCCAAGCAGACTCCTCGCTGAGTGTGGTGCCCGACACGGGGCTCCATCCCAGGACCCTGAGATCATGACCTGAGCTGAAACCAAGAGTCAGACCCTTCACCCACTGAGCTGCTCAGGCACCCCTCCCTTGCCTAATTTTAAAGGGCTTTTCCTCTATTATTCCACGTAGATACTATAAGAAGTTAAAGTAGTTGTTACCCAAAGTTCATCTTCAGGCCAAGACCTCACCCTGCCGTCAAAGCGGGTGTGGTAGGCAGAATAATGCCTCCCCCAGAGGTATCCGTGTCATAATTCCCCGAGCTGGGAACATGTTAGGTTACATAGCAAAGGGGAATTAAGATTCCAAGTGGAATTAAATCGCTAATCGGTTGACCTTAAAATAAGGAGAGTATGGTGGGTTATCCAGACGGGCCCAACGAAATCACTAGGTCCATAAAAGTGGAAGGGGGGCAGAAGAGGAGGTCGGAGTGATGCCATGTGAGAAGGACTCAGTCTGCTGTCGCTGGCTTTGAAGATGGAAGGGGCCTGAGCAAAGAAACGCAGGCAGCTTCTAGATGCTGGGAAAGGCAAGAAAACAAGATACTCCCGTGGAGCCCCCAGAGAGGACCACTGCCCTGCAGACATGGTATTTTAGCGCAGTGAGACCCAGACAGACTCTCGCCTTCTAGAACTGTAAGATAATAAATTTGTGTTGTTTTAATCCACTAAGTTCATGACAATTTGTTACAGCAGCGATAGAAAGCTAACGCAGTAGTTCAAACTGTGCTTCAGTGGGCTCACCCTTCTTGCCCCCACACTAGACACCTGCCTGTCCTCCTTGACCCCACATCTTTTGATTCTTCCCTCAAAGCCCATGTGGGTGGGTACCTGCCCCAGCCCACGTCCATGGCTAGTGTCTATGGCTGCTCTGAGAACACCCAGAGTTCAGGGGTATAAAGCCACTCCCTCTTCCGCCTCTTCCCAGTACCCTCATACTAAGTGTGTCTTTCTCGAGGAACACTAAAGATAATGAACCGTAATCTTCTGTTTACACATGTGTCTCTCACACAGGCTTCAAGTTCCTCCCAAGCAAGCGAGGCGAATCCTCCCGCTCCGCCTAGCACCTGGCGCCTAGCACAGTGCCAGGTGCTTACGTAGAGAAGGTGCTTAGGAAATGCTACAGGAAAAATAAATGACTCCTAACCCCTAGATGCCAAGGTACAACCAAGGACCGGCCAGACCAATCCAAGGAAACACAGCAAAGAAAGTCCCTCCCACCCTCTTAAATGTCTCCACCATGGAGCAGACCCCTTCTTTGCCTCTATGGAAAGCTCATTCTGTTTCTCTTCAGAAAACAATGTCTCCTCTGTGGCCATACACGTGACACAGAAGGGTTGAGCGAAGGGGATATTGTTGTTAGACTCTGAGTAGAGCTAAACCAATGATCTGAAAAATGAATTGAATCATGATCAGTTCAATTATGGTGCTTCGCAAAAGCACTCTATCTCAGAGCGACCTGAGGCAAAGTCAGCCACAGTCAGACCAGAAGGGAATGGAGGACAGGCAGGAGGCCGCAAGAGCTGGTCACCTCCCATCTCCTGCCTTGCCCCCACCCCACCCCCAC